TGGATTGATGAAACAAGTCAGTCCCCTGGATTCCTGAGGACTAGGAATAGAAAAGTCTCAGGTTCTGCAAGGTGGTGGAAACCTAAGCCAGATTGTGGCGAGGCCCTGGAAAGGGACAGGTGTGTGGGTGTCCCAGAGGCCTGGGCACTGATGACTGCAACCTTGTGAGCCCTGGAGCCTTGGACTGCAGCCAAGTCCAGCAGGGAGCGTGGGAAAGCTCTAATGCAGCCACCAATGTGAAGGGGTCCCATGTGCCTAGACAGTGGCAGCAATGGACAACCATGAGCCAAGAACCAGGCATGAGGACCCAGGGCCACAGATGAGGACCAGTCCTTTCTTCAAAGTTCACATAGGCCCCCTGGTTTTTGTAGGATCAAAAGATGGGGAAGGAGCCAACCCAAATCGACTGATTCCAGATTTTTCATTAACCTTGGTAAGATGGAAAGTCAGCCAGATTGATTTTTATCAGAACAAACAAAAAAAACAAAACAAAAAAATTCCAATACCACACATTTATCATTTCCTAAAGGTTACAAAGCAATTAATATCCGTTAATTATACAAAATCCTCTAGTATGTGCATTAGGGGCATTTTTTTTCTAGAAAGTATTCATCACATTTTTAAGGAGGCATATAATTCCTAAACAGTAAAAGCCACTCATCTAACATTACACAACCTCCTCATTTTAGAGATGAAGAGAGTAAAACCAGAGTAATGAAGTAGCCTGAACAAAATCATAGAGCTGGTCACTGCCCAAAAGATACCACTCTCCTTTTCTTTCTGCTAAAACAATAAGCATGAGACCAAGCCAAGTATACAGGTTGGTTCCGACATAACATTCTGTTAAAGATAGCTCCCTAAGACACCACATTTATCAACTTTCAAAGAACTAGACCATAGGTAATCCTAAAACACATTTTCATCATGACCCATGTCATTACTTTGTTACAGCAGGCACTGTTTGAAGCATTTCCGTGTATTTACTCAGTTAATCTTCACAGCCCTAAATTAGGTACTATTATCCCAACTTTACAGATGAGAAAACTAAAACACAGAGAGGTTTCATAATTTGCTCAAGGCCACATAGTTTTTAAGTGTCAGATGGGGTTTGAATCAAGGCAGTCTGGTTCCTGAGCTTATATTCTTTTGGGGGGTGGGGTGGGGGGGTGGGAGGGATGGGTCATTTTTTTGATTGATGATTAATTTACAGGGTGTAATGCATAAATACTACATGAACACCATGGGTTTTGATAAATGCATACACCTATCTAACCCATACTCCTATCAAGATAGATAACTACCCCAACACCCCCTCCCAATCCTGGACAATCTCTTTCACCAAGGTAACCATTATTCTTACTGCATTAACACAGACCAAATCTGTTTTAGAACTTCACATAAATGGAATTATAATGTATGTATATTTTTATGTCTGTTTTTTTGTATTTGTGAGATTCCTGCATGTGCTTATGTATATCAATCATTCCTTCCTTTTTATCACTTAGCATTCCCTTGATTTATTTATTATAATTTGTTTATCAATTCTTCCCACCTGGGGCTTATGGAGGTCTTTCTGTATATGTTTTCATTTCTGATGGGTAGTACCTGTTGAGTCATAAGTTTATGCTTAATTTTATAATAAACTGCTAAACAATTTTCCAAATAGTTATACCATTTTATACTCCCCGGAACAATGAATTAGGGCTCCAGTTATTTCACATCTTTGCTAGAATTTGGTGTTGTCAGTCTTTTTGATTTTAACAGTTCTACGGGATACATTCTGGTAGCACACTGAGGTTTTAATTTTCATTTCCAGGATGACTAATGGTGTTGGGCACTTTTTCAAGGGCCTACTGGATACTTGAGTACATTTCTTTGTGAAGTGCCTGTTCAAGTGTTTTACTCATTTTTATAGGACTATTACTCATTTAGAGTGTTTTATATATTTCATATACATGTCTTTTACCAGATACATATAGAGAAAGCAACCGCTGTATTTTCCCCCAGCCTGTAGCATGTCTGTGCATTTTCAAGTTCATGGATCTCTTCTTTTGCAGTATCTAATCTGTTGTTAAACCCTCCAATGAATTTTTTTCTTAACATATCATTTTCAAATCTAGAATTTCCACTTGGTTCCTTTTTTATAGTTCCATATCTTTTCTGAGATTCTTCATTTGTTTACTCATTATGTTTGGAAGTCCTTGTATGTAAATTTCAACATCTCTGTCCTCTTTGGATCTGTTTCTATTGACTTGTTTTTCCTTAGGTGTGTGGTGTCACCTTTTCTTGTTTCTTGTTTATCTAGTAATATTTGTTTGAATAAATGGACGCAAGCTTTTGGGAGTACAGATTCTGTGGTCTTCCTTTTAGGAATGTTGAGTTTTGTTCTGTAGGCAGTTTATGTACAGAGGATCAGGTATATTTGTTGTGGCAATTCCAGGCCAGTCCTCACTCTAGACCTAGAGCAGTTCTCCTAAGACATGAAGGTCACCTTTCTAGGTTCGGTTGAACACCTGAGTTGTTCAGCATGGCCACTCTGGCTGGTTGGACCCTGATATCTTCCAGCACCAGGCACCTCTGGAATCTCAATAGCTACTCTTGACCTGGGCATGCAGAGTCTTGCCCTGTGCAAATCCAGCTTAGTATCTGGGCAAGGATTCAGGGAAACCCCTTTGTAGATTTCTGGAGATGCCTCTCTGTGAAGCTCCCTCCTTTCCAGGATCCTACCCCAAAACTGCAGCAGGCTCAGTAGCTGAAATGCTGATTTCTGTTTCTTCCACGCTGACTGCTGCTTTCTGGCTCCCCTTTCTTTTGTCCCAGTTTGGAAAGTGTCCCCAGGGAGAAAACTGGGGCGAATTTGAAGCTCATGTTTTGGTTTCTGTTCCCTCAAGGAATACAGTCCTGTGTCTGCAGTCCAACACCAAGAAACCGTTGTTTCATCTACTTTTTCCAGTTTTATATCATTCTTTATGGCATAAGAATAAGTCATTTGGTTCTGACCAGAACCAAAGCTTAGAGTGTCCAGTCTTACTGTTGTTAGTTCATATGGCTCATGAGTTTCTTTTTGATCTGGTCTCTGTCTAGCTCTCCAGCTTTATCACAAGACTTGTGCTACCTGCATACTTACCTACCTCATGCCCAGAGGCACACTCAAACAGGTGCACACCCTCATGTTCCGAACAATGAACTATTTTCAATTCTTCAAAGGTGTTAGTGCTTTCTCCTCTCAGGGCTCCCTTCATGCTGTATTCTTTCCTATTCCACTTGTATCATCCTTACTATCTCTAGGCCCTTTTTTGTCTTTATGAATCAGCTTGAACACCATTTCCTCTGGTGCTTGGCTCATGTGCTCCCACAGCAGCCTACACTTTCCCCAAAGACATAAAAACTTCGAGACAGTTTCTTATTGAACATGAATTGTAGTTTCCTGCTTGGTGCTAAGGTCTATGGGGGGAAATGCGAGGATTATCCTGTTTGACTATCATAAACATTAGTCACTGACTACTGTACAACTTGTGAAAATGCCAAGATTTAGGCTAGTAAAAATACTGGAGAAACCTGCTCTTATGGTAGCCAGAGGGAATTTATTTGATGTCCTACTCTAGTGATTAGTAACCTACACATACAGACCTTGCTTAAACTGTTTTGGGTGTCCTGATTTGCCCTCCAACGAGATGGCCTGCAAGGCAGATTTTCTCATTTCCATTATTCATCTCCTTCCCCTCACTACTGCCTGTTATACCTTTACCAACTAAACTATATGGATTTCTAATGCTAGGTAATTATTAAAGCTACCATAAAGCTCTTTAATCCTAAAGAAACACAACTTGTGACATTCTCATAAGACATATTACTGAAAACAGCAAGCAAACCTGTAACTCCTAAACCTTTAACAGGTATTTTGGTGACCAGGGCAGGACCTATGTACATTCTTATAACATGCCCATGAGCTCAGGAGTGAAACGGTAGATACAAGTCTTCTGACCTCTATAGACTGAGAAAAGAATTCAAACTGGACACAGTGTGAGTTCCTTAATTAACAACATAGTGGCTAATGCCAAACAGTGTAGACGGTAGGATAGTGGAGCTGATGGTACTAAGCTAATGGCACAAAGTAACCAGTTGGATGGGATCACAAGGCCATAATGCTGTTTTTCTTTCAAATTGACAGAGGGGTGCCCAGGTGGTTCAGTCAGTTAAGATCTGCTTTTGATTTCAGCTTGGGTCACGATCTCATAGTTCATGAGTTTGAGCCCTGCATCGGGCCCTGCACTGACAATGTAGACCATGCTTGGAATTCTTTCTCTCTTCCCTTCCCAGACTCGAGCTGTCTCTCTCTCTCAAAATAAATAAATAAACTTAAAAAAAAAAAAAATTAACAGATAGGGCCTTCTGGGCAGCTTAGTTGGTTAAGCATCCAACTTCGGCTCAGGTCATGACCTCATGGTTCATGGGTTTGAGTCCTGCGTCAGGGCTCTGTGCTGACAGTTCAGAGCCTGGAGCCCGCTTCAGATTCTGTGTCTCCCTCTCTCTCTGCCCTCCCCTGCTCGTACTCTCTCTCTCTCTCTCTCAAAAATAAATATTAAAAAAAAAATAAAAGAAAATTTCAAGCAAAGTTAAAATAAAAAAGCACTTTTATAAGAAAGAGAAATAATTTGACTTAAAACCAAGTGAAAGAAAAGTAAAAGTGAAGACTTTTGGGAAATATTAAATAAAATGTTCACACAACTGAGCTCTTCTGGTCCCTCTAATTCTTAGGATTTAAAAAGTCAGTAATTTATAGTTTTTTCATTTTAAGACATAAAAAAATTTACCCTCTTCTGTGGATTTAGGGTTAAGACACCATTTCGGGCAGAAATACCCCTCTTCCCATAACCTCATGGGTTATGGTTATGGTTATCCAAAAGATAACATAACCCATGAGGTTATCCAAAGAAACACATACAGAAGATTGCCATATGGAAAGAAACACACTTCAGTGTAGAACTTCTCTAAACTCCAAACAGTAGTTAAACACATTGTTGGCGCTTTGCTATTTACATACTTTTTCTTTGGAGTCTCTAGTTAATGGACACGTCATAATTTCAGAAAGAAAAACTACATATCATATCTATACACACATGAAGAATCCCAGCAATTAAAAAGGAAATTAGGTGAAATAACTAAAATTATGAAGCCATTTCTTACCATTGATGTCACCACCAAAGCTGGAGAAAATCCCATTGTGAGATAGAAAAAGAGCTCAACCACCTTATACCTGCAGGATAGAAAGGCAGTTCATTTTATGTATTCCTATAATACCTAGTCCAGTCCCATACCAGCTTTCCCTTTTTTCTTTTTAAAGAGAAATGCAAAGTCTTCAACTATCCCAATGAACCATATTTTCCCAGTAGACCATTAGGGCTCTAATTAAAACACTATAGTTGAGTGAGTGAACTAGCATTCCTCTCAGGACTGAAATAGCATCAAACTCCATTAGCAACTTGGAAAATGTTTTCTGCCAAAAGGAGTTACCGTTGCATCCGATCCACCATGCATTTTCCCGCTTCCAATCTCCCAGTGTTTGCCCTCATTACTGCCCCAATCCACAGCTACAAGAAGCTGAAATTATCATGATGGACAGGACAGGGATGCCATATGGGGCCAGGCTTATCAGTGGCGGAGGGGCAGGAGCCCTAAGGAATGAAGAGCATGTAGTTTTCTGTCTCTTTATTTTTCATCTGCACAAACTCCCAACTTGTAAGGCTCATCCCATGAGGCTACAGAATGTCCGAAAACACTAAGAAATATACTCCACTGAAATTTAACTTGCATTTCAGCCTAATCAAAGGAGGCTCTACGTTCCCTGGAGGCAGGGGCCAAATTTCATTTATGTTTGGATGTGCAAAGCCTACCACAGTGCCTGGCACTTTAGGCACTCCCTAATATCTGCCCAACCGAATGGCCATAGGTGACTCACATCTCATTCTCCATGTTTTATACTCAAGAGTCCACCATGAAGCAACCTTATCAGGGACCTGGGGAAGAATGGGTTTGTGGGTTTGCTTTACATTAGGAAGCCTGGAATAGGAGAAAAGATAGTTATTTTACTCTACTTTCTATTTTATCCAAGGATGTAAGTTAGGGGTGCAGGCCCAAGAAGCAAACTGTTCTCTTGGATTTATATACACTACATAACACCACTCAGAACTGCTAATTGTAGTAAAAAATGCATTGAAGTGAATTTCAAAGTCAGAAGTTAGTGAAAACTACCATTTTCTTCTGAAAAGAGAAAATAACTTAATACTTTGTGATAAACACAACATGTTCAATTCTGAGAGCCATTCTGCCAACAACAGGTAAGCTAATAAACTGTATTCAAAGACAATGATTTCATGCTTGTGGGTTTCTCAAATTCAGGCATCTGAAGTAATGAAAAGAGCCATGGAACAAGAACTAGGACACTTGGGTCCTAATTCTACATGAATCGCTAATTTGATGCACATCCTAAATGTTCTCATTTTTTTTTTTTTTTCTTAACCATGAGGCAGGAATAGATGACTTTGCAGGTCTCCTCTAGAGCCATGATGCTAAATCTCAATAGGCTTTCCTTTTTATATTGCTTCACATTTCTGACTATGGGCAATGAATAATGGGTTAAAAAATGTGCCCTGTGATTAGGATGCCTCTCCAAATATCCCCTTTCTCAGGGAAGCTTAGTTTGGAACATCTTCTGGGTTCCTGTCTAGATAAGTGTTGTTCTTATCTGTTATCTTCAATCTTCACAGAAAGCTTGAGAAGCAATTACTTTTCTCATGGGCTAAGCGTAGATTACAGAGAATAAGGCTAAGTTCGCTGATAAGGCCAGTCACCTGAGGATTGTCCCTCAACTGCTTCCTGTTACATGTGTGCCATTCAGTTCTTTCCACAGCAATCTGTCTACCAACAACGAATACCAAATGGTTTCAAAGATTTGTTAAAAGCAATATATATTCTATTTATGTATTTCTACTATTTTGAAGTGCAAATATAAAGCAAATTATGTTGTAATGTCGATAAAATTTAGGCAGTTAATTTTTAAACTATCAAATGTAAATTACGTTCTCTTACTTTTCATGGTAGAGAAATACATAAATGGTTCCTCCAGCTGCCATGAGCCAGATAAACCAACGCATATGAGATGCCAGGGGTCCAAGTTCACGGAGATTTAACCTAAAAAATGTAAACATGACAACAAAGAACAGAAGTGATAAATGAAGGGAATTCACAGGACCCGTGTTTTCCTCTAGGCCTGAAAACTGGGGGAGCAAGCGCTAGCATAAAACCAGGAGGAAAAGGCATTCAACATGCCATGGAAGTAGTTAGGCAGTTTGGGCAAAATTAATAAAGATAAAATTGTCAGTTGACCTTTAAGACTTCGAATTGTTCCAATGTGGTTTAAAAATAGAACTAGCTAAAAGGAGGTATGAAGTGAGTCCCATCACACCTGTGATGCCTGACTTGCCTTATAAGGCAGACTGCTGTCAGATTAGCTTAATTCTGATAATGTATCTGCAAGCGGACCGCTTACAGAGCTTAATGAGAACCCTGAACAAAATCCTGGGCCAGGATCACATACCCACAGCGGATACCTAATACACAGACCAAGTATCTGCATTACCAATCTCTCGGCCAAGAGAGAACATGAATTAGCCCAACGTATGTTATGAAAGACATTTTGTCAGAATTTTAACTGTGGACTCTTGTAAAGCTTGAGTTTTAAGATGCTGCAAATTCATTTGTACTCATTTCATATTAAGAATGGACATGAGAAGAAAACCAAACGTTATTCTGATTGGCTACGACTACAAAACGATTATTTCCAGATGGAAAAGGCACCACCTGCCTATTGAAAACTACATGAAAACAAGTTCCTTACTGTAATATTTGATTCCTCAGCCAACTTTAAAAAATTTTATTTACTTAAATTGGGGAGCACTTCCCCAAAGCCTGTAACTGTTCTCGCTCCAATATGATACAGACCTGTAATTTAGTGACAAGTATTAGAGAGGGAACACACTTTTTACTCCAACAGACAATTAGGTTTCTTTTTAATGATGGATGCTGCGTAAGTCAGAATGTAGAGGCCTGTTGTTTCTAGTGACTCTAGCAGTTCATGGCACAACATGAATTTCTGAGTGTTTAAAACTGGATCATGTCTTCATAGAGGGAATCGAATGTTCCTTTAATTTAGGTTTCAAGGCAACAACAGATTCTACATGATCTGTACCAAAAGAGCAGAAAGATTAAAAAAAAAGAAAAAATGAAGAGAATACTAGGTATTTTTTTTTTTTTAATATATAATTTAAAAAAAAAATAATCTGTATGCCCAGTGCGGGGCTTAAACTCACAGCCCTGAGGTCAAAAGTCACACGCTCCACCCACTGCGCCAGAATACTAGATATTTTAAGCAGCTAATTTGTTTAGTTCTTCTACTCATATAAGCTAAAGAAGTGAGACATGTACTCCATATATAGTAGCTACCGTGCTGTGAAGTGAATTGAAAACGGTAAATTTCAAAAGCGAGCTTGTTTTCCTCACACGTATTTACAGCATTTCCACTTAAACAATTAGATGTCCAAGTATTATGAACAGCAGAAAAAGCAGAAAAAGAATGTGGAAAGCAAGGGTGACATATTTCAAAAGACAGAATGCTACCTACGAACAAGTTCTTAGTGCTTCCTCTTGAATAACCCAGTGCCAGGTATGTATTCTGAACAGCAGTAACATTCTCCCCTTAAAATCTGCAATCTGACCCAAGTAAACAAAAAATTTAAAAAAGCATGTATGCATGTGTACTGGCAGGAGGTGGGG